TTTTCCAAAGCATGAGTGCCTTGGAGATCCGCATCACCATCAGACCTGATCGACTACAGACATGCACAGTGGGACGTTTCTAGGGATAAAGTCTGAGATACACAGAAGGACCCCAACGTGATGGGCCTCCCAAAGCTCGGGGAGGTCTTGGGATTCTGGAAAGCTGTGGACAGCCTTCCGGCAAAGGCTGTAACCAAGAGAAACACAAGCTGAGCTCTGATTGGGTCTTCCCTGCCTGGCTACAGCTCGTGTAGGGCGAGAGGGAGAGAGAGGAAGAGACATACAAATGAGGCTGTCACCAACACAAATCCCTTTCTGGCTTAACTGTGTGCCAAGTTTTGGGATATTCTTCACATTACCTAACCACCACTTTTTCTATGTTGTGCTTGGAAACTATTTTCATGACTCCTGAAACAAACGTATGATTTTGAAAACAAGTAGACGGGGACAGTATTCTGAAAATAACCCAATATATTTTTTTGTTTCTCCATGAGTGAGTCATCAGTTTTATGGACAAGGGAAGAGTGGAAGGAATCAAAGATCATCCACAAAAATGGAGGAAACTAGGGAGAAATACTCCTCTCCACTGGGACAGGAAGTTCTTCAGGTTCCGAAAAAAAAATCAAAGGAAAGAGAGGTTAAGAATTGGTCAGCGTGACCTTACTTGTTTCCATGCTAATGGAGAAGATGCGTTAGTAAAAAAAAAAAAAAACCCACATAGCTTTAAAGGTGATGCCCTGAAAGGGGGGTGGCTCATGACCTACGTCCTTTTATGGGACTCTGGGAAGAAACCTCACAGAAGTAGCCTTATAGGCACGCAGTACTCACAGAATGTTCTAGAAGATAACATAGTTTTTATTGAGTTAATCTTTTAAAAGTCTGTCATGGCTTTCTGATGGAACTGCTTTCAACATCTTTCAATGTAGTTTTGCTAATACAAGAGTTTTCCTCATCAACTGTATTTTGGAAACCTACAGGGTTTTGATTTTTTACTCTAGTAGATTTTTGCTCTAGTGGACTAACACAGTGAGTCAAACTTCATGAAAGGTCAAAAAAAAAAAAGTGACATCTTCTCTGTATGTGGAAACTTGTGATTCCTTATATGCCAAGCGGGTAGAATTGGTTTCCCACTGTCTGCTACCATTGCTAATGGTAGAGCACGGATGTGAGCCAGGCCGTTAACACTTCATGTTCACGGTACCGACACCCAGATTTGGGGCAGACAGAGGTGGCAGTGCTTTTTTGTACTTGAATGCGTCTCACAATACATGGCCTTACTTTTAGGAAATGGTATAGAATATTGCAATTGTTGAAGGTATTGAAGACTGACAATGATTCCAGGATGTCTGG